ATATATATATATATAAAATTTCTTTACACTTATTGTTATTTCTATCACAGGGGGATAACGGTCCCCCTATATAATAGCAAAGGCACACTGACAGGTCCTCTTTATGGAGACATTAGGGGTCTCTAAGACCCCTGTCACCTGGGGACCCCAAAAGAAGCTGATGAAGCACAGATCTGCTTCATCAGCTTCTTTTCTCTGGCTATAGCAGCCAGATGATTGACAGGTGAATGCGGAAGTTATGTAATACACATCACTTCTGCATTCAGACCTCGGAGGGAGATCAGCAAGGAGGAAGATGCTGAGCTCTCTCCCATTTTACCTCCTGACGCCCTCCCAGGCCGCAGATGGGCTAGCAGATCCTGGGATTGAAGGTGAGGGGTCAGGGGGGGGCACTCCAGGCAGCGGCAGCAACACTCGACAGATCGCAGGGGGGGCAAATCGCGACATACAACCGATCGGCAGGCTATAGAGCCGCTGATCGTTTGTATGTGAAACCGCTGGTAACGTCTGTAAATAACGGGTGATTTTTTTTTTTTCTGCCCGTGTGCCCGCAGGGAAAAAATGCCGTCTGGAGAAAGCAACCCGCAAATGCGAGTCTGCCGTCTGTCCGTTTTTTCACAACGGCCGGACTGCAAGTGGTTAAAATTTGTTTAATATTGGCCATAAGCCAATTCTGTGTGGTGAAAGCTGGTATGCCTTTCAGCTCAGTGAATGCAAATGCTGTAGGCAGGATGTATGCTGTAAAACGCCTACTTTTAATGCACCTCTCCTCCAAACTTTGCAGTATTAATAGGACCATTGATAATGGGGCCATTTAATATTAGTGCAAATTTCACTAATAAAGTGTGCACTAGTGTAAGCCACGCCTTAATGTGTATTTCTAGTATAGGCATTGGATGGAGCCCCTATCAGATATGTGTTGCTGTGCCCCTGATGGAGAGATCAACCGACTCTATTTGCCGCTGTCTTCAGGACGGTAAGAGATGAGAAATAAAAACATGTCATGGTTCTCAACAGATTTGAGATAAAGCAAAAAAACTGACATGGATTCTAACCTTCCTCTACTCTACCCTAAAGAAAAAAGTAATATACTTTAATGAACAATATAAATGCATTTAAACCAAACTATCTGTATACCATCATATTAAGAGGGGTCATGCTGTATATTTGCCATACAAGTAACCTAGTCAGTGTTTGCTAGTTTTTCAATGTATATTATGCATGAAAGAAGAGGGTATGAAAATGCACGCATGGTCAAGTCATCCAAATACGTTCTTCACCATGCAATGTTCTTCCTTGTTGTATTTTCATAAATACTGTACCGAGAGAAATATGCAGCTTGCCATGGATGACCTCTCCTTCTGGAAATTCTAGTATCGCGACTAATAGTTCTAACTTCAAGTGAATGTATAAAATTTTGGATTTCCCCTAATTTTCTAATTCAGTGACCATGGTCATCATCGCAAATAAAGGGGTAAATCTCCCCAACAGAGATTCAGTCCGCAATCCAACCCTTCGCTACTCTCTCCAAAACTAAAAGAAGGTTGTGCCAAGAGATGCTTTCAGTTTCATTAACATAGACTGCAATAAAAAGCACTTATTTTCAGGACAATGAGGATGGGTTAGAACACTTGTCAGATTCTACTTTGTGATTACTTGGGATAATTCTTTTCACTTCTTGTGAGGTCACTGAGGGAGGACATGAATGAAATCCCCCCAGAAGGGACACGTACAACAATAATAATCAAGTATGAGGTTGCAAACCTTGCCCATACTACCCAAAACAAACACTTATAATATCAGATTGGATTGCCGGACACTAAAAGTCAGCTGCAGGTGGATATGTTTTTAAAGAGATGTATGCACCAAGGGGAACAGAAATGGCACAAGACCTGCTTGCAAGCAAGGATGTGGTCCTTGTGTGACAGCATCTTCCACCCTTGCTGATCTTCGCTGTTGGGAACACCCCATACATGGGTCAATTAACAGCATTAAACAGGGACCATACTTACCTAATCCTGTGATGGACTACAATCTCAATACAAATTAGTAAACTAAAAGTGAGATTGTAGTCCATCACAGGAGCGGTGACAACTTTACAACACACACAGGGACCATGGGGAACAAAAGTAGTCACCCTCCAGAAGGAAGGACAGTGTCAGCACCAATTCAGAGATGATTTGAGTATCTACAGCTGAGTGATACACAAATAAGATACATTTTTGTTAATAGCTAGGGTACTTGAATGTATGTTTAAGATTTGAATCCTGACTTTAATGTAACTTTTTAATATTCACATTGTTTAACTTTATATATGTATGTGGAATACGTAGATTTGATCACTTACAGTTGAATTGAAATGCATAGGTGTTGTATAATTTCACTTTTGTTTTGTCACTATATTGAGTAGTTTTTTTTGTTTTGTTTTGTTTTTTACTAATGGTATTTATTTTGGTTTTATTTAATTTATAGTGTGATTCACATATAAGTGTGAGCTGCTTTAGTGTAGGGCTTATTGAGATTAGCACGGAAAGTTTTTAATGTATTTAATAGTTATATCAGGATAGTATTACGTCACTTTGCTGTTCATCAATTGGAGAAAAAAATGTGATTTAAATGTAAAGCAGCTGAAATCTACAAATGGACATTTTTTCTCAATGGCAAACCAAAATGAGAAGACACCAGCTTATAGCAAATACCATTTCAATGTAAACATATAAATAACGCATTTATTTTCATACAGAAAAGCACTAAATATATTCAAGTTGTCACTGTGTATAATGGAGTATAAAATTAATTGCCTCTGTAGAGTGCAAAAGATGAGACCGGTCAGCCTATAAAACTATTTTGGTCGGACCCAGCAGGATTACTTTCCAATATAATTGGAGGATCATATATAAGAAGATCTTCATCAGCTGAAGAAGAATTCTGGTCGGTGCTTACAAAGTTTGGGATGTTGAATTTAGCAAAGCCATTGGGATTTACCTCCACTTTGCAGTTCCGAACAGTCTGCTGGATGAGAATACCATTGTCTGTAGTTTTGGAAGTCCGTTTTGTACCGGTAAGGTGATCAATTTCATTGATGTAGCAATGGAATAGTGACCTAGATTCTTCAACTCCATCATGGGAGAAAATTCTGTTGACTTCTGTCGGTCTACCAAAGTCTGTTGTAAAGCTGTTCATTCTGAATCTCTTTGCAGGTGGCTCCACGTTTCTAATATAGAAAAGAGAAAGTTAATGTTTAAAAGTGCCCTCACAAAGGCATGAAGATGCAAGATCTTCTATGAAGACTAAGAAAGACATTCATCAGTGGTCGTAGGCAGACCTCCATTCATCTCTGTTATGATTGAAATTATTACCAAGACACCCCTCCTGTTTGCAGACCAGCAATGCACATATCTGATCTACAGCTGTCTAAGTCTGCAAAGGAGAGGCAGCATTATGATCTGACATCTTTAGACTCTTGTAAACGCACCCTAACAGTTATGTGAACAGGAGTATAACTTCTATAGTCTGGAGTTTTCATCGCAGTCTCATCACTGTGCATGTTTCTCAGGAGAAACAAATATCTATTCTCTGCATAAAAAGCCCTCCTTTGACCCCTGCTTTCCCCAGTTGCCATTGGCAGCCTCCACAAGCAAAATCACAACATGCATGCCCACCCTTTTCCTCGGAGCTGGATAAAAAGATTGCAGCTTTGACCCAGATATTGCTGCAGCAATGTTCCCTATAATTTGGACATTGCTGATTATCTTATTATAGCAAGATTGTACATGTATCGTTCCTGCAGGATATGTCACAGCAACTCCTTTCTGGGATGAGAATTTCCCCTCATCAGCCTACTCTTATGGAATAGTTCTTGCCCCTAAAAACCCATTAATCTTTTTTTGTTTTACCCTGTCAGGAGTGAATATAAACACCATGAAAGAAATGTGCAATGCAACAGCAAATGTATAAACATTAAACAGTATTTTGTATCAATCAGTAAAAATAAAAGACATGAGAGCCATGAATATGGGAAAAACGGTGCATAGTTTATACTATGCGCATGCACCACATAACAGATAGATACAAACTTTCCACAGCAGTACCCATCAATATAAATACAAAAAAAAAACAAGTGTTTGAAACTGGTAGAAAAAGAATAGAAGATGCACCATATTATAGGTAATGATTAGAGTACTATAAACTTAAAAAGAAAAGAATAGACCATAATGGTATAATTATAGTTATTCAAGTATCAGGAGATGTACCACATTATAGTCAAAACCATAGCAACAAAAATGTTACATAGTATTTGAGGTTGAATAAAGACATAAGTCCATCAAGTCCAACCTATTGCGTGTATGCATTTATGGAGTACTATCAACGTTTATATGAAAAGAAAACCATAATAATGTTATTAAACAGTGTTTCTATATGTTAACAGCATAAATAGAAATAAAAGAGGCTTTAACGTGAATAATATTTATATAAAAAATGGATGTTTAGTACTATTAGAAAAATAAATGTAAATATATGGAAAATCTCACTTATTAAAATGTAATTATTACTTATATGGTAACATAGACCAAAAAACATTTGAAAAGATGCTTTCCACTCATCTAGAAGCATATTCAAAAGCATATAAGTGTGAAGAAAAGCTTTTTCTCTAACACATTTTGAAACTAAGTTGTCATTTTTCTAAACTTACTCTTGATGTGGAGCTCCCGTCTTGGTCAGTAATGTCAGAACAAAAAACATAAAAATTACAAAGACTGCAAGGCCAACCCAGAATCCAATCACAATTGAATCTGAAAAAAAAACAGATGTTAACAATACATGGAGAAACATTTGATGTGATTTACACATTAACATGTATATTATATTAGAAACTCAGGTTTTTATAGAAAAGGTATTCTCTAGAAAGACCTTCTGTAACTTTGATTGCATCTCCTATAAGCAATAGACAGGAATCTGCTACTTGGATGATTGACAGACCTAAGAACCAATAATAATTGTCCCTTGTCTGAAGGAGGCATTTTAATTATGAACATCTGCAGCGCCGCATGATCACTTGCAATCATTGCAGGTCTCTGAAAGCTGTTTGGCAGATCACATTCACTATAATAAGCTAAAAAAAAGCTGCTTTGAGTCATGGGACATCAGTGGTTTCAACCAACTCTCTGTTTACAGGTGTAATTGACAATCTATTATCTCTGTACCTGGTAGTTCACTCTGTTCTTTACCTTTTTAAAATAGTTTCAGATAGAGTGGAGAAGGGTGAGATCCTCTGCCAAGGAATATTGCTAAGTCATCACTGTGATGGACTCCCTGATACCCCGACTGGATATCTGTCTTTAGGCTGTTCCCTGGGTGCTGGAACCAGAAGCAAGTGAATATATCATGGGCTTACCCCAAGAATCAGACAGCACTGACTTTGGAAACATGAACTGGTTTATTGAAGAAAGCACACAGAGTTTATAACTCACAGAATCAGATAAGAGTTCAGTGTGTTACATTGACCAATCCACTCCCCCAGACAGCTGAGTGCCGCATTGGAATTCCTTAAGCACAGACACTCTTTGAACCTAATGAATGTCCTTAATTAGATGAGAGTTTGATCCCATTATGCCAAACAATGGCCACTCCAGACAGCCTGCTGCCTTTACAAAATTACGTTTAGCAGAGATGGTATCCAAACAATAGTGAAAAGCTCTCTCTCTAGATAAAATATTGAACAGGAAAGCACACACAGCAAACAAAGTTCTCCGGGGTAATAAATCTATGCAGCCCTAGGTCTGTAGGAAGGAGGCTAGCCCTCAGGCTACGCCAGCAGCCCCAGTGACGGTTCAGTCCGTCACAATCACTGTGGAGATAATAGGGCATTGCAGTATTTGCCCTATTAGATATTTATTTAGGGAATACATTAGGTGTTGTAAGAGTATTACCTCTACCCTAGCAGATTCACCAAAGAACTATATAAGCATTGCACCCCAGAGAGAGATAACAGGAAGTATAGCATATAGCAATGACCTGCTTGTCGTAGGAACAGAAAGTGTAGGAAAACATCCTCAATAGAAAAATGATGAAAAGGGCTGGCACCCTCGAAGAAGCTTGATAATTCCCTTTATTTAACCAGACATAGTACTAGTCCACAGCTGTTTTGGGACCATTTCATCTTGGTAAGGGAGTCCTTCATGTCCCTGAAATGTTGGCTGTAGACTGGTAGCATAGTTATTAAACACAATTTTTAGACTCTGTGAAGTGCAGAGTTTTTCACTATTTTCTGCTTGTATGGTGCCATCAATGGCCGCAACATCTGTCACTTGCAGAAGTAGAACACTAGGTATAAAACAAAAGCTACAGCCTATGGTCAGCCCTTGATGGTGGGCAAACCCCTATAAATTCATGAGTAGTTCTGGTTTTTGCCTAGTGTCAAGAAATTTGAACCTCATTTTCCCAGTTGCCATTTAGTTCCTTGTTTTTTTTCCCCAACTGCTGACTGGATAATAGGTCAGATATAGATCTGGTGGTTCCCCCAGTACAGCCATGAAGCTCATGAGGTTCCCTGCCATGTGTGAGTTCGTCTGCCTCAGCATTGAAGGGCAGCCTACAGAGTTTTCAATTTGGGAAAGTATATAACTGGTCGTCCTTGGGCTACCCCTGCACTGCAAGGGTTAAGTGCTTGTTTTGTCTAGGGAGCTAAAATAACAAAGTTATAGTCGCCAGAATGTGGAGCCTGCCTGGCTTCTAGACTGGTCAAGCAGCCTTTCTTCCCCACATTCTTATGCAGACCCAGCTGCCCAGCAAAAGTGACAATTACAGGGGTTGGCACAAACCATATACTAGTGTCAAGGGTACAAAGAACAGATAGCTATTATTAATATGGTTTAAACCGTTTTTACAGAAGAAAACAACTGTTGCTGTAACTGCTTAAAAAGTGTTATCTGGAGTTTAATTTATTAGCAGAATCTACAGCTGCAACACACATCCAGCAATTGTTGGAGAACGAGGTATTTGTAATTCCTGCCAAATATTCTGCCCATGAATAGCATGTCTAGCTGGGACTAGAGTGACGTGTCCATACAGTTTCATAAAAGCAGAAAGATGGCAGAGACCACTGATGACCAGCCTGTGTCTGTAAAAAAAAAAAAAAATCATCCAGTACAGCAATATATTTTTTTACATGTACGCTATAAACAATGTATTCAAATATGACCTTTGTTGACATGTATCTGTGCATTTAACATGCCTAAATATATTGTTTATCTAAAATTGACTGCGCTAGGAAGGTGAATAAAATTAAATTAAAGTACCAGCTGCAACAATGTGTATCAGTGTGATCAGATGTGAACTAGTATGTTGCTACTAGTTGCACTAAATATATTGCACTCTGGGTGCATTTTGGAACCATTTTACACAAATTTAGACATGTGCGAATCATTTCTTTCTGAATTGTAATTCAGGCAAATTTTCCGGAAATTCGCACATTCGGATGCATTTCGTATGAATCCAAATTTCCCATAACTTAAATTTTGGATGCACCCAAAGTTCTTTCCCAATTGAAGTGTTATTGTGTTAAGCATCAACTTTTAAAAAAACAAATCGGAATTTTCGTTAGCGGTAGTATGTATGAACACATTTTTGTTGCAGCAAAGTGACATTAGACCAAAGAAATAAAATGTCTGGTAGGAATGTTAGGGGGTGGGGTTTCCCCCAAAAGTCATACCAGACCATTTAGATCTGGTAGGAATTTTAAGGGGCACCCCAGTGCCAATAAAAATGTGGGGTCCCCCTAAAATTCCAAACCAGACCCTTAATCTGGGCACTTGCCTGGTAGGCCAGGAAAGGGGGGGGGGGGGGAAAGCGAGACCCTTGTCAAGGGTACAAAGAACAGATAGCTATTATTAATATGGTTTAAACCGTTTTTACAGAAGAAAACAACTGTTGCTGTAACTGCTTAAAAAGTGTTATCTGGAGTTTAATTTATTAGCAGAATCTACAGCTGCAACACACATCCAGCAATTGTTGGAGAACGAGGTATTTGTAATTCCTGCCAAATATTCTGCCCATGAATAGCATGTCTAGCTGGGACTAGAGTGACGTGTCCATACAGTTTCATAAAAGCAGAAAGATGGCAGAGACCACTGATGACCAGCCTGTGTCTGTAAAAAAAAAAAAAAATCATCCAGTACAGCAATATATTTTTTTACATGTACGCTATAAACAATGTATTCAAATATGACCTTTGTTGACATGTATCTGTGCATTTAACATGCCTAAATATATTGTTTATCTAAAATTGACTGCGCTAGGAAGGTGAATAAAATTAAATTAAAGTACCAGCTGCAACAATGTGTATCAGTGTGATCAGATGTGAACTAGTATGTTGCTACTAGTTGCACTAAATATATTGCACTCTGGGTGCATTTTGGAACCATTTTACACAAATTTAGACATGTGCGAATCATTTCTTTCTGAATTGTAATTCAGGCAAATTTTCCGGAAATTCGCACATTCGGATGCATTTCGTATGAATCCAAATTTCCCATAACTTAAATTTTGGATGCACCCAAAGTTCTTTCCCAATTGAAGTGTTATTGTGTTAAGCATCAACTTTTAAAAAAACAAATCGGAATTTTCGTTAGCGGTAGTATGTATGAACACATTTTTGTTGCAGCAAAGTGACATTAGACCAAAGAAATAAAATGTCTGGTAGGAATGTTAGGGGGTGGGGTTTCCCCCAAAAGTCATACCAGACCATTTAGATCTGGTAGGAATTTTAAGGGGCACCCCAGTGCCAATAAAAATTCGGGGTCCCCCTAAAATTCCAAACCAGACCCTTAATCTGGGCACTTGCCTGGTAGGCCAGGGAAGGGGGGGGGGGGGGATAAGCGAGCACCGCACCATACCAGTCCACATGCCCTCGACATGCGGAGGGTGCTTTGCCAGGGAGGACCCCGGAAAAGCACCTTGTCCCCATGGCGGTGAGGAGAAGGGCCTCTTCCCCACAATCCTGGCCCAGTGGTTGGGAGGGTTTGCGGTCAGGGGGGCTTATCTGCATCTCGGGTATCACCTTTCATAATGGGGACACCTAGAAGCCACCCCCTCCCCCTTGTGAATGAGTAAGGGGTAGTTTTTAGCCTTACTCATTCACTAATGGGTTACATTAAAAGTAAATAAACACCCCACACCTTACAAAAATGTATTTAACCCCTTCATGACTGAGGCCTTTTTTTTTTTTACTTTTTGCATCCATGTTCTATTCCACATTTTAGGCCTGAAAATTACTTAAAACCCCCAAAACATTATATATTTTCTGAAAGCCAAGACCCTATAGAATGCAATGGTGGCAACTGCACATTTTTATGTTGCACAATATTAGCGCAACTCCTTATCCAACCCCAAAACGTAGTGACAAATGTACTTAAATGCCCCAAAACACAATAAAATACCCATTTTTTAAATAAGATATAAAAGATGAGGTTACATGGATACCCAACATGTCCAGGTTAAAAATTGTGTGCATCCGTGAAACGGCGACAACCTTCAGTACCCCAAAAAGTCCATAGACGACGCTTTAAAACCCACAGGTCATCCATTTAGAGATACCCCAAAATAATGGCCCTAGAATTTTTGCGCTCACTCCGGCGTGCGTGTAGCGCGTTCATCGTTTTCATACGTAGGCGCACCCAAAGCAAGCTTACGTGGCAAAGAGGGGGGGAATTTAAAAAAATTTTATTATTATTTTTAGATTTATTTTATGTAATGTAAATTTTAAAAACTGTTATTTTTTTTTTTTTTTACTTTAATTGCTATCACATAGGGGGGCTCACAAGCCCCCTTCACCGGGCCGTAGTAGCAATCTGGCGACAGCTGAATTGTAGAAATGTTTTTTGTTCATATGACAAAAAACTTCAATAAATGAATCTTTTGCCATCTTAAAAGGACTAGTGTGCTGGTGACATTTCTACAATTCAGCTGCCATTTGCGTCGCCATCCCCATTAGCTGCGAGCACTCCCCACTACAAGGGACATATCGGTAAGGAGTGCGACAACGATAGTATTTACTGGCGACCGCTGAGTCGCCAGAATTGCTTCTATTGTAAAGCCGACAGTCGGCTTTACAAGTTTAAACAGAGTCCCGGTGGCAAAAGCCGCCCAGAGTCTGTTTAAACAGCCCTGATGCATGAGACGTACACTGTTAGTCGTGAAGGGGTTAATTGAACAAAAAACACAAGTCAGTTTTTGACAAGTCTTTTATTTAAAAAAAAAAAAAAGGATCAACCAATGTGATCCAATGACAATCGCGATGAACGACGCCCGCCAACTCGCCGAAATAAAAAAAGTTCAGACGACCCCTCTGAACCTAACAAAGACTTGCTGCACAATGACAGCTCTAGCCTGCATGTAAATAAATGGGCTTTTATGTAATGTTTCAGTTCTTTTTACTGAGACATGTTTTATTGTAGGCATTATTACAAATGCAGAACACATGTCAATTAAAGTATTGGTTATTTCCAGTACCACTCACATCACACTCATCATTACTCTCAGTGGATGGAACAGGAGGCTCTTATAATATACTGACGGCAATATGTGTGAAGGTAATACCAACACCTTTCAAGAAAACTTGTCATGTGGTGAACATGCCACAACATGTTACAATGTCCTGTGAAAAGCAAGGTAAAAAATACTTATATCAGTACTGAACTGAGCCTCAGTAATTGCCTGTGCCTATATTATGTATTTTTCTAGGTGCCACCGCCAGCTACAGTTACTGGCTTTAATTACCCTGAGAAAATAACTTACTTCTAGACTGGAACATTGATATTGCTTTCTAAACCTCTGGTACATTCTCTGGCGTAATGCCACCTCCTTGAAAAGAGCTATCATATCAGTGTGGATAGAGTTAGTGTTTCTAGCACAAAGTATCTGTGCTAAAATATGCTTTCGGGAAGCCACAAGGGATATTCTCCAGGTGGTATCCTTAATGAGGAAGGCATTCCAGGATACTGTCAAACAGTTTACTGCCAACGCCCAGCCTTAGCCTCTGCAAGTTGAGAGGAAATCCTTGTTTAGGAAAAGATCTACCCCTGCCACCCTGGTTAGGCCCTCTGCATCTGCTCCTGAGGTCCTGGTGAGACCCTCAGTATCTACCCCTGCTGACCTGGTAATACCCTCCGTATCTGCCCCTGTACATCTGCTCCTGCTGAGACCCTCAGCTTTTGCCCCTGGTGAGATCCTCCGCATCTGCCCCTGGTGAGATCCTCCGCATCTGCCCCTGCTGAGGCCCTCAGCTTTTGCCCCTGGTGAAATCCTCTGCATCTGCCCCTGGTGAGACCCTCCATCTGTATTTATATACTTTTCTGCATTGGTGTATAATGTACTGCTGGGATTTGTAGTCCCTCTACAGCAGTTGTAATTCTGCATTAGTTTCCTCTGTACAGCACTACTGTATATGTCAGAGCTATTTATTTGCATAAAAATAATAATGTGTGACCTTGAGGGCAGGAAGAAGAGGGGCCCGAGAAAAAATCTTGCACCAGGGCCGTTTGTTGCTTAGGTCCGCCACTGCATTAAAGGCTGTGTAACACTGCCGGACCGCTGGAACAGGAAGGATTTAACACAGAACACTACTAAGGAGGATGAGGAGCAAGTACATAGAGAAAAAAATCATTACATTTTCCCACTCCTGCTGGGCATGGCAGGAGGCCTGGTTGTAGTCCTCTTGGTATGGGCATTCCAGCGGCTACATTTGTTGGGCTGAGATCCTATTTTTGGGTGGATGGGGAGCTGAACATCTTGACTCAATTAAAAACCAACCACCAACCAGCAGTATTACATGCCAGTAAAGGATGCGATCACAGAAGCGTATCTAGATCAGCATCTTAGAGGATTTTCTATTATAAGCTCATCTATATTCATGAATGCTGTTATTTTTACAAAGGCATGTCTCAACAGAATGACAATCATCATGACTAAATTACACATACTCACATTTGTGGGCCTTTAGCCCTTCAAATGAAACTGGTGCATATTCATAATACTCATATTCCCATGTGTATTCTGAGTTGGACGGTTGTTTATGGGATGTTCTGCTAGAATTGACACTGCTTTCGGACATATCTAGCCTATAAAGACAAGAGAACAAAAAAATCAAACTTGAGATACAGAAAGAGGAAATATTTCATTTTACAATGTGCTTTATCCTATTCATGTCATTTCTCAAACCATAGGTAATCAATATTTCAAAGAACTCTTCCAGATTCTGCTACAGTTTTGATAAATTCCCACCATAGTGTTTGTCTATTGTTGTGACTTAGATGAGGATCAGTATAAATATGAAGAAGTCACTCGCACTCCAGCTCAAGTTTGCCTATTTGTTTGCCTTATGAAGGGACCAAACGGGTTCCGAAACATCGCCATGTTGTGACACCACAGAGGTCAATAAAATATTGACTGAACTTGAGCTGCAGTGCGAGTGACTTCATATTTATACAGATTTGCGGAGGCGTCCGTGGTCGCTTGGCCTGATACTTGAGGGTATTATCCCGTCAGGTGTGCGATGGGTTTCTTTTGATTTAGATGAGGATCAGATCACATTTCTTTGCAAATTACTGCAGAAAATGAGTTAATTCCAAGGGGTTTGCATACTTTTTCTTGCCACTGTATATAGACTGCCAATGACTGACCACTCCTTCTGAAAATACTTCTTGGTTGGCTGCCATGCAATATTTTTTGGCTTTAAAGCGTATCTAAACCCTAAAGCAAAACATTAATACTGTATATTGTAGTTTACCAATACCTAGGAGCGGTGGCTACGTTAGTTTTCTTTTTTTAGGCTTTTTTCTTTTATTTTCACCTGTAATGCAACATAAAATCCTATGTATTCCTATGGAGGCCATTCACGCAAATGTGAGCATCTTATGTTGCTCATCTGCAGTCTTTTATATCTCTCTGTAGTATTACATTTACTGAATACTAAGTATAGCCCTTGGGTGATGTCAGGGGCCGCACTTGAGTCCCGCTATATCAAGACAGTTGACCACCACTGTTGTAGAGCCTGAGCTAAAATTAATTTCAGACATAACATGGAAAATTAGATTTTCATCTGCTTCAGATGGCATGCTCAAATGACAATTCTAATTTCCTTGAAGTCGGGTCACTTTAAAAAGGAGCTCTTGTTTATAAAGAGGTTGTAGGTTATTAAACCTTATATGAGGCTTGCTGGAAGATTTCATTAGATCAGTTGGAAAGGTTAGATTTGGTTTGATACACTTTTACTCTTATTAAGCTTTGTAGACATTTGAGCTATAATTGGTACCTTGTGTAGTTATTAAAAAAACACCTGTGCAGTAGGGGAGCATACTCATCAGGACGTACATACCCAGGAAGGAGGACAGGGTAGAGAAAAATGTTGAATGGTAGGTGGAGGCTGCTGTATGTCCCCCATTATTCTATAAAGAGGGGTTTATAGAACGTTTAGTTTCATTAAAACCACAATGGATGAGATACTCACCACTGAGTAATTAAAGAAGTGACAGGACATTTACAGAGGGCATAGCAGGTATAGGGAGGGAGCAGCAGTGAAAATGAGAGTAGGCTTCGAGAACCAAATATAATAGGTTGGTCCTCACAAATAATTAAACTACAACTAAAGCCAAAACTTTTTTTTTAGCTTTGTATAGAGTGGAGAAAGATTGAAATGCCTGTTAGGTTTTTATAGCTGTCTGTGATCCACCCTGTATTTTCATCCTGGTGACCATTAGCACTAAAAAGTGAAAAAGAATCCCGCATTTTGGGATGTCATCAGAACAGGAATAGATAGGAAATCCTTCAATGGGGACACCTGTTCTGATGACACTGCTGACCACCAGGGACTTTCATCACTTTGAAAGGATTTCCTCTCGGTTTCTGTTGTGACTGTGAGTCAGGAAGTGAAAGGAAATCTCCCCTATGCTGACTGTTGTTGTAATCCTTCCAAAACTTAAAAAAAAAAGGTTTTGGCTGCAGGTTTAGTTTAAATGAAACTTCTAGTAAAAATATAAATTCTACGCAGTTATAACTGTCACTGTCTGCCTGTAAATGATGATACTTATTCTTGGCAGTACATCCTTGATTATATCCTTCAGCTTCATGCAAGATGTAATTAGGATAAAAAGGATAAACAAGTATCCTTTTAATGTCACTTTAAGGGATTTCCTCTTGTGTCTTCAGGACAGGAACTGCGGGGAAACCATCTAATGGAGATGCTTGTTCTGGTAACAGCTGTCTAAGAGGGCATTTCCCTTTGTGTCTTCAGGTTAGGAAGTGTGGAAAATTCATCCAGTGGGGACACTTATTCTCTGACAGCTGTCTAAGAGGGGATTTCCTCTTGTGTCTTCAGGACAGGATGTGAGGGGAAAAAATCATCCAATGGGGACACTTATTCTGGTGACAGCTGTCTAAGAGGGGATTTCTTCTTGTGTCTTCAAGCCAGGATGTGAGGGGAAATCATCCAATGGAGATACTTGGTCTAGTAACAGCTCTCCAAGAGGTGATTTCCTCTTGTGTCTTTAGGACAGGAAGTGAAAGGAAATTTCACAGTCACAGAAAAAAGGTTGGCAGGGACTCAAACTTCCCCAGTTGGAAACTTTGTCAAGGAGACTTCACTATTATGATGTTCAAGGTCTATAAGATTCAAAGGGCGGATTCAGCCCACCAGGTTCCATCCATAACGTAAATATGACTTTTGGGAAGGACTGCTCCCTAAACTGATCTTTTCTTTTCATAATTTGGTGGGAAGAGTTAGAGAAATTGTAGACGTGATGTCAGTTTTAAGCCAGTCTGTCTTGTCTATTTATACCACACTGTCAATGAGTCATTCCTAGTTTTTAAAGTTCAGCGTTTCATAAAAAGAATAGAAATGATACATTTATCTTATTTTCCTGTATTCCCCGTCAACAGCAATTCATTCTACTTCCTATTTAATTTTACCTATACCAGCAGGAGAATTTATTATATGTTTGCTTAGTATTGTTTCTAACTTAGGAAACGAGCAATGCCATTTCTGAATTACAGTAATGATTAGAAATGTAGTCTTTTGTCAGAAATCAGGGACCATACAGATGCAGGTTACCTATTCAAATAGTGAGTCATGGAAGCTCAGTTAGCAGAGATGATGGATGCACAAATACTAAGCTTGCTCTTTTGTATAATCAGATACATATGTGCATTGCTGGAAAAGAGCAGACTTTTCACCTTCAACACACATCTATTCAAGAGCATATAAGTCAAACGTGAGCCCACACTTTCTTACAGATACAGAAACATCATGATTGATCCATTTAATCATACCCAAGGCCATACTTATAGTCATCGGAAATGACTGCTCTGCCCTGAGCAACGCTGCAGCCCAAGTCTCTGCAAATAAGATGTTATGTTCTGGCATCATTGATTGTTTAAAATCATAACTCCACTCAAGAAGATCAAGGAAACATTTTGTTGAGTTACCCTACATATTCCTTGAAAAGCCATGTTGAAAGATGCCGGTTGACAGATAGACTCAAGCCTTTAAGGTGAGCACCCACAGTGTAAACTGATCAAGGACACAATGAATGCATTTCTGTATTTGTTAATAGATCATTAAGGGCTTGTTCACACCAAATGCAGACCAGATCTGCATGAGTTTCTGCACACGCAGTGCAGTGGGTTGTGCTGCGTTTTTGATGCGTTCGGGGCCGTTTTTGGTTAAAAAAATTAAAATTTAGTTTAGAATTGGGCTTTTAGTACGTTCCGGGGCATTTGCATGCATTTTTGATGAGTTTGCATGTGATCTAGAGCCCAAAATACCATTGGAATACATTGGACGCAGTTTTGATCCGGTATGTAAGGCTGGGTTCACACCTAGGCGTTTTTCAGCGCTGATCGAAGCGCTGAAAAACGCTCAGCAAGTGAAATCCAATGAATCCCTATGGGCATGGTTCCCACCTGGGCGTATCTCAGCCCGTGGAAACGCGCTGAAAAACGCCCTATGCCCAAAGAAGTACAGGAGCTTCTTTGGGTCGTTTTTCCGCGCGTTTCCATTGGTATTCCCGAGTGTGGATCGGGGTTAACAAAGCGGTAACCCCGAGCCACACTCGGGAATACAGCGTAGGACTTACCTTGTCCGCGATCCCGCTGTGTCCTCCGGCCGCTGCCGACTTCCGGGTTCCGTCCCTTGCGAGCGGCCGCATCGCAGGAGGACGGAACCGGCGGGAAGTTTTAAAGTTTTAAAAAAAAACGAAAAAAAGATAGAGAAAATAAAGGGGGAAAAAAAATTAAAATCATACCGCCAGGGAGGTATAAAAACGAGCGTCGAACACGCGTTTCACTGAACAAAAAAATGTGCTAAAAAACGCGCCCAGGTGTGAACCCAGCCTAACTGCTCTGCTCCTGGAATGCGCTGTGTGTGAACAAGGCCTAATTCTCGGTGGGTTAGTGGCATGCTTAAGGGCTTGTTCACACCAAATGCAGAGCAGATCTGCATGAGTTTCTGCACACGCAGTGCAGTGGGTTGTGCCTCGTTTGATGCGTTGCAGGCCGTTTTTTGGTTTAAAATTTTTTGGGGAGGTTTGTAGTGCGTTCCAGGGCGTTTGCATGTGTTTTTGATGCATTTGCATGCGTTCCAGAGCAGGTAAAATTGGGCATGCTGCAGTTTTTTTTACCTGCTCTGGAACTGAACGCTGCGGTGTGAACTAGAGCCCAAAATACCATTGGAATACATTGGACGCAGTTTTGATCCGCTCTGTAACTGCTCTGCTCTGCTCCTGGAACGCGCTTGGTGTGAACAAGGCCTAAAGGAATTTTAGTAAGCAGTATCTGCAGTACCTGCATTTGACTTGGTATCAGCCTTTTACAATCTACTGTACAGCAGTGCTCAAAGTGATAGAGAAAGAAACAGAACAATACTGCAATCATGTGCTGGCAAGGAGCATGATGATAGGAGGACAAAGAAGAGTGACAGTGAGATAAGCTCATCACCTTGCTGCTTCTCTTTTACATGATAAGGAAGGGTCTATGACAGTCAGGGCTCAGAGGAAGTGGGTTGAATGTTAATGCCTGTTATTCATTCTAGAAGACTGAGTGGCAAAACCTGATATCTAGTGTCAGAAAGTAAATATAGTACAGGGCACAGTTCTGGATTAAAGGTGAGTATTGCAGCAAAAGCTGCTGCTTTTATTCTATAAGCTGCTGTGCTGATGCTTACTTGAAGTCCATAAAGTAAGCAGTAGGCAGGGCTGTAGCGATGTCTGCAATAAAGAGGCCCTGACCTGTGGAAACTGTGCAAAGAAAAGTCAAGTAGATTGCAAAGGACTAGTCACCAGCATAGGCATGCACATGGGGTGTGCCTTTGCACACCCTATTATGGCAAGTGCAACACTGAAACTGCAACATCGGGCACCATGTTTTTAGTCACTGAGCCGGTGGAGAGATCACAAAGCTCTCTCTGTGACTGGCTTAGCAATACAGAGTGCAGCAGCACTTGCCACTAACATTTCTCATGTAACAGCCGCAGTACTCTGTGCCTGGGAAGCTGCGAGGGAGTGTGCTGTAGCTCGCGGTATGCTGAGCTTAGGGTGACGGGAGGACGCTAGTTTGTGTCCTCCCGTTAACCTTCGGAGAACTATGGGGAAGCCCTGACCCCATAGTTCTCCTTTAAGTGTAGACTTCTCTCCTGCAAGTGGAACAGTGGACAGCACAGTAGTAACCACACCAACACTCATTCCAAATCTCCTGAGGCACAGTCAGAGGCAGCAGTGCCTTAAATGATCTCACACTAAAGACACTATACAGCTGCAGATTTTCCAGGGCACTGCTTAGGCACAATTAACATTTCTAGATGTTCCCTATAACATAGCAAATCTTCAATTTTTGGCATTAAATCCACTTTAATAGAATCATGTTAATTTGCCCAGCAATATGTTGGATGAAGCCTTTATGCATCAACCCCATGAATTCCAAGGCATCTCACCCAAGCACATGTGCAAGAGTCCTTGTGTATCTTCACAGCTCACTTTATAATGCAGTTCTCCACCGATAAGTACAGTGTAATTCCCATTCAATAAAAGTGTCTACAATTTATTATAGGCTTCAGTTACATGTAATAACCACTGTATTGTATGCAAAATAGCAGATAAAAAATAACACATGCAATATAGCTTGATGAACTGAACCTTGTAACCAGGGCTGGACTGGCCATTGGGCATACCAGCCTGATTGTGTTCTGCCCTACACGGCCCGGCCCGCTATGCCCGATGTCCTGCTCTGTGCTCTCAAAGTGGCCAGGCAGAACAAACACAGTCTGCCTCTCCCCCCTCACCAACAGACTCAGACTGCTGTCCAGGACAGAGTCGGGAGAACTGTGCGGGACACCGCGCTGTGCTGGAGAGAAGTAGCAGAATACCAGAGTCCCAGAGAAAGTGAGCTGAGAGAGGTGATGGGGCGGTGAATCAATACCACACACTGAGGAAGGACTGGAGCGCCACCACCCATGCTGGACACACAGGGAAACACCAGAGGGATACAGGCTCCAAAAAGAGGAGACGGGGACCAGACTGGGGGGAGACACAAGGGCCAGAAAATGCCCAGGACTATTTTTTGTCCCAATCTAGCCCTGTTTGTGACTGTTACTTTACTACTTTTGAAACCATGAAAACAACTGGCATTGCACACAGGGCTGAAGCTACCATGGGGCGAGTGAGGCACTCACCTCAGGCACAGCTGGGGCCGGCCTGGCAGCGCCCCCTCGCCCCTGTTGCCATGGCAAGCACAGGCTCCAACACAACCGTGGCTCGGCAGGGAGAAGAGGGGTGGCACAGGCTCCAGCTTCTCCTTGGATCCTAGCTGCTCTCCCCCGCCTGTATGGACAGAGGCAGTGGGGTAGCGGAGAAGGGAGCTGTCACTCAGGGCAGCCTTGCGGTGAGGAGAGAGAGAGCCGCTCGGCCAGGATCTGACAGCCGGCGGATCTTTCTTTTCTCACTGCTCGACCATCCTGAAGTGACATCGCAAAAAAATAAAATAAAGTCCCCCCACCCCACTCACAGATTCATGCACACATATTATTAGACATGTGCAAAGAAGTTTGTTTCGGACAAAATGAACAGAAACTTAAAATGTTTTCATTAGTTTGTCAAACGAAACAAATTTTTATGCTATTTTAGATCCTGCAGGCGGGGCGCATGATGTCACATGATGCCGCGCGTGTGTGGCGTGAGGTGACATCACACGTCTTTTGGGGTGCACAATTTTCTGTTCTTGCCTCGGGCGCTTAGCTACGGCTCTGACTGCATACCTCAGTCAACCTGCCATTTGAAACTGTGTAGAACGCAGTCTGCTAATGTCAAATATTCTCCATTAGTTTTGATGGAGTCTAGGGAATAAGCTACTGCCTGAAGTAAACTGTTTAATGATAAGATTTATCTTGGAGATCTGTAATCTCTATAAATGAACCTATCCTACAGTCATGTACATTGATAGAATTACTGAACCTCTGGTGAAATCCTTTTAACCATACATTTTACACCGTGGAATAGTTATCCCATATAATATCATATGAGAGTAAATCTACAAATGGCAGTTAATTCCAACCACAATTCCGTCTGCACAAATAAGGTTTCACTTGAATAAAATAGACATTTGTGTCAATCATTCAACCAGTTTCTGCCAAGACTGCAAAACTGCCTATAAGGTAAACTACTGATCCATTTGGCATGATGGTAGCTGTTAGCAGGAAGATATGAGTTGCTAAATGTGGATTTGAAGTGTTTCCTGCTGAGAATGTGACCACTGTCATCGTGAATGAAAACTAGATCTAGTAAATCAGCTGTTCGGGTTCAGTAAAGTGGGTGAAGCCAGCAGGGGTTGTTGTCGCAAGAGGACACAAATTCAGGAATGGAGGAAGGGGAACCTTTCTATCATATACATATTAACATTTTGCTGAGGTGAGACCACATGATGACACTCATTCAAGGAATTGAACTTTCTGTCATTCATTTCTGTAAAATGATAGTAATTAGTTTCTACTGCAGTTAACAGTGTTCAGGTGCCACAAAGTCTATAGTAGTTCTGGTTAGAAATAATAAAATTGTATTTTGTCATGACAGAAAATAGCTTATGTCTGATAAATGAAAGAACTGTTATCTATCAATACAGCAAAAATGATTTGTTCCTGCTGTCGGTTTCTGGACAATCTAGTGCAGGCATTAGCAAAAATCAATATAAGGTGCATAGTTATGTTTGCTACAAACAGTTCATTAATCACTTTAATCTTCCTTCTAACACAAGGATGAGCACAGCGATTAACAATAGGGTTTGCTCTGACATTGAATCCTAAACCGCAGGAGAATGGATTTGTGACATCAAACAAATAGAAGGTAAGGAAACTTTCCCCATACTGCCCTCTCTCTCTCTCTCTCTCTCTCTCTCTCCCTCTCCCCCTCCCTCCCTCTATAATCTTTCTGTTTTTCTCTCTTTATATCTGTCTATATCACTTTCCAGCCTTCTCTCTTTATATGTTTCTATCTCTCTATCTTCCTCTCTTTATATCTCTATCTTTCTCCCTCTGTGAATAAATTATAAACTGTATTATTGTGGAAAACAACTTTCCACACTGACAATCAAAGCAACTGTATGACATAAATATGACTATCAATGAAATTATAAACACAAGATTTACACATACCCCAAGGCTAAACAAAATATATATTCTCTAAATATTGTTTTTAGGATTCAATCTTCAAATGTAAAGTGCCTCACTGGTACCTAGGTTATCTACGGCAAATAAAAATGAGAGCGCAGCCAACAAAACAGAGGACACTGGAATGCAGATAAAGTGTTAAGTTAATCAATAAAATGTAAATAAATTGCACTTACAAAAAAAGCAACTTGATCAGAGCATATAACCAAGTAGATCAACTCCCATGGGATGTCAGGTCACTAGCACATGAAGCAAGAAATGTCACTTCCAGAAAGCCAACAAAAGGAGAATAGAACTGTGGTAAAACCAGCAATACTAGTCCAGAATGGTGGATCCTAAATGGGGACCGAGCTGGCAACCTGCAAAACAGTCCCACCACTTACATGTTTTGGGGTCCTGCCCCTTCATCAGAGTGGAGGACAGGAGGTTTCAGCAATACCTATAGGCACACAGAGGAGAACTGGGAGCATCTGGCAAATATCAGCAGAGGAAGGAGGGGAAGAAAGGAGGCAACACTGAGCTGTAGTGACAGATGATGACCCTCCAGATCACTGAGCAATGCACAATGAGAGCTGCCAACGATGAGCAGAGAGACTAAAACATCGACTGCAAACACAAGAATGAATGAATTCAACTCTGCCTCTATCACCAGCCCTCCAGATCACAGGCACATCACATCAAGAAAAACTGTACTTACTATATTTTTATTTTATTGATCATATTATTATATATTCTAATCCATATATGTTTAACATTTATTGTTTATTTAATTGTCATTAACTGCCACCTGTTATGTATATATATAAAGTTAATATGAAAAAAATAACAATATATAAAACTTCAAAGGTTGCCCACCTCTGGGCTAGGTAATACAAATTAAAGTGGCTCCCCGCACTGCAAGGGTTAAATGCTCATTAAGTCTAGGGGTAGAGGAATAACTTTCATCACACTGTGTAACTGGTCCCTGAAGCATCTTCTCTTACAGCCCAGCGCATCACAGAGAAGAGGAGATTGCTGGAAACCGGCCAAAACCAGGAATAAGGTAAGTATTACAGCTTATTCCTCTACCACTTGGCACATAGCGAATTTCGGTTGGTTCTTCATGAAGCGGCTGAAATTCGCTGCATGTTGGCACCCTTCCACCTGGCATCCCTCGATCTACTGATCAAAGAGTGGAAAATTCTAAGCTGAATGGAGCTAGCAGCCAATTAGCTTCATGCTCCGTTTGGGTATTCAGACAGGGACCGGCGGCTGGTGTCAGAATATAAAAGAAACAGCAGGGAATTCCTCAATCAATGCTTATGCATTGGCGGAGGAATATGTTTCATGTTTTTTGATCAGCCCGCAGGTTGAACGAAAAAAAAAAAATAGAACCATGTATATCCAGCTTTAGCAAGCAGTTAACCCTTGCAGTGTGGGGTCCCACTGCAAGGGTATTTATTTATTTTTTTTACAAAAATCCTGGAGTTCAGTTTCAAATAATAAAACTATAGCAAACAGTATAAAAAGCAATACGGTTTACTGCACAAATAAGGATATGAAATGGGAGCCAGTAGCCACTAGATGTCACTAGGGATCCTGGATGTACAGATATGATCTCAGTGTAATAATAGTAATAATAATTTAAAAAAAAACATTGTAACAATGAATGAACTATGCAGGTTAAAAGAATCTTACAAAGAAATTGTTTCTAAGAAAGTAAAGATAGTACAGATCTCCAAATTCTCGATCAAACCATTAGGGGACTAAAAATTCATATTAAAATACCAGAAGGTCTCACAGGAGCATAAGTTTAAATATTCCACCTTCTGGTATTTTGTTACTTATAATTTCAATCAGAGGCGGCTCTCTAATTAGGCAAATTAGGCGGTCGCCTAAGGCCTCGTGCTCACAAGGGCCTCGCGGCCACCTAATTTGCCTGTTGCATTACCTCAGTTTTGAAGTGACAGGGGACCTTAAGACTGCTTTGCGCAGGCAGCATTAGGAGCCCTGTCACATTCAAGTGTGCATCACAGCCGCCGAACATCTCATCTCATCATGACATGCTCGGCGGCTGTGATGCACGCTTGAATGTGACAGGGCTCCTGATGCTGCCTGTGCACAGCAGCATTAAGGTCCCCGTCCCCTCCGAAGGGTACAGTTGGGGGGGTGGAGAAATGGTAGCACTGTCCACGCAGATAACTCTGCCCGTCCTGTTCTCCCTGCTGCAGACTCACAGACTGTCAGAGGTTTCTCTTTACAGACTGTAATCGGTTGCAGCGATCTGTGCATGAGGGGACAGATAGCCGATTACAGCCTGTAAGGAGAAACCTCTGACAGTCCGTGAGTTTCCTTTCCCCGTGCCGCCAGTCCCCCCCTCCACCCCCTCCCACTATGCTGCGCTCCTGCTCTCAGCTGCGATCCGTCTTCTATCCAGCAGCTGGCAGCTATTGCCAGCCTGCTATTGGCTCTTTTAAATTGCAGTAGCCAATAAGAACTTTCTCCTTCAGGTCCCTCTCTGCTGATTGACAGCATGCAGTGGGCAGGTGCAGAGCCACGCACAGCCGCACAACTTTTTTAAAAAAAGCAGAGAAGAACCCTGCGATTCAGGTGGGGGGGTGTTGCAATTTGACCATGTTACACACTAGCTATGTGGTCCAGACTAGTGCTAGCGTAAGGATGTATAGGCAGCCAACTAAGGGCACCGGGGGGCGGCAGAAATAAATGTTTGCCTGTGTAGGCAAAAATCCTTGCGCCGGCCTCTGATCCAGCACAGGCTTCTGTGTCTCACAGAGTCTAACCAGCGTGCACGCTCACGCTGCGTGCATTCACTTCTACTGAGTATTTCCACTTCTCCGCGCTGGTGATCTCTACTGCGCATACGCCCACCTACACATTCTGCTACACGGGCCGTTTGGAAGATGTGTTCTGCAGCCGGGAATGAGCGGTGCAGATACAGGTAAGTAATTGTCTATTTGACAATTTTTTAATGTTTTTGCATTTTTTAATTAAAGTTTTAATTTGTTCTGCATATCTGCTGCTAAGCATTTTAAAACTGGAGCCAGCACCTTAAACAGGTGCTGCAGTTCACAGGAAGGCTGCTGCGGTCCCCAGCAAGCACAGGACTTCAACAGCTTTCCTGTGAACTGCAGTGCCAATTTACAGTGCCAGCCACACACCTTTTCCTTCCTGAAACAGTGCTATCCACACCTGCCCACGAGACCCTGCACAGCCGTCCTGAGACCCTGCACGGCCTTCAGAGACTACACACAGACCACCTGGGACCCTGCACAGCCAAGACCCTGCACAACCTCCTAAGACCTTGCACAACCTCCTAAGACCTTGCACAGTCTACTGAGACCCTGCACAACTTCCTGAGACCCCACACAACCTACTAAGACCCCATACAACATCCTGACACCCCGAACAACCTTCTGAGACCCCAAACAACCTCCTGAGACCCTACACAACCTCCTGAGACCCCACACAAGCTCCTAATACACCACACAGCCACCTGAGACCCTGCACAACCTCCTGAAACCCCACACAACCTCCTAAAACCCCACACAGCCATCAATTTTCCATTATGGGTGTGAATGGGGCCTCATGTTTAAGTTTCGTCTAAGGCCTCGCAAAGTCTAGAGAGGCTTCTGATTTCGATACCAAATACAGATAAATGCTTAGGATCACTATTATGATACTCAAGGAAATGGCAGGGTACACTGTGATTAACCTTTTGTTAATTTTGTTTCTTTTGTGTTCTCCAAACCTGATGGTGCAACCTATATAGTTAAAAGATAAAATAATCTTACATTCATTAGCTAAACAAACATATTTTTATTTTACTTACAATTTCTTGTTTTATTCTTCCTGGTCCACTTTGGCACAAATTATATAATCCTGCCCAAGCATTACATCCTGAGAGGTTTACATTATCAGAGCATTGCTGGAAAATCTCATCTGTAACCTAACAATCTCAGGGAAAGTAATTTTCCTCCCCTGAGATGTTGTGCACGGTCACAGGTCCTAGTCACATGTTCCAGAGTTCCAGGAAGTAAAGGGAGATGGATTAATCTGCCCTTAGTAAAAATTGCCACTGTGAGAAAAATGGGGAAGAAAATAAAAAATGATGTATGGAAAAAATAAAAAGCCTGCAATTATTTAGAAACAATTGTTTTTAGATTGTCATTACCTAACATTTCTAAAGGTTGTTTTTTTAAAGGTATGGGTAAAGTCCCTCTTTAAGACCACAAGAATAAGTCATATAGTAATCCAAGTAATATAAGTGGTTTTCCAATGAAGAATAAATTAACACGCACCACAATTTCATTTCCCACATTTGATGTTTTATACATTATTAGGAAAAGACAAGGAAGAGAAATTAACTAAAACTTGTGATTTAACTTTATTAGGTTATATGTTAGTGATATATGTAGGTCAGAAATATTTAATTAAATTCAGGGAGGTCTGGTTAGTAAAATTTTCTTCCAGCAGAGGCACAGGTCAGTCATCCGCACTCTGCGTTACAATGCTGTCATCCGCACTCTGCGTTACACTGCTGTCATACACTGCTGTCATCCGGGACCTCTGTCCCAATACTAAAAACCGATACCAGCACTTACATTTTTCAAATTGACTTAGGTGTCTTAGGTCCGGCTGGGGACCTTGCGACAGCCTTCTGGGGAGCCACGCAATGCCTGCTTACAGCGCTTCTGCCACCCGCACATCTCCCCTTACTAAGACCCTCCCCACCCCTCCTGACAAGCTCTGCCCAAGACATTAGGCCAGAACCCCAGAGTAGAGCAGCAGCACAGGGTATGTGGCAAATATATATACTATTATTCTGCATTGCTCTATGTTTTGCTGGGATTTGTAGTGCTCTATAGCTAGCTGTATTCTGCATTACTGTATAATGTATTGCTGGGATTTGTAGTCCCGTTACAGCTGGTGGTATTTTGCATTACTGTATAATGTATTGATGGGATTTGTAGTGCTCTATAGCTGGTGGTATTCTGCATTACTGTATAATGTATTGATGGGATTTGTAGTCCTCTATAGCTGGTGGTATTATTCTGCATTACTGTATAATGTATTGCTGGGATTTGTAGTCCTCTATAGCTGGTGGTATTTTGCATTACTGTATAATGTATTGCTGGGATTTGTAGTGCTCTATAGCTGGTGGTATTCTGCTTTTCTGTATAATGTATTGCTGCGGTTTGTAGTCCTCTATGGCTATAGGTGATTATTTACACAGCCCTGGTGTTTGATGAAATTGAAAAGCTTTTGAGAGTTTTCCTCTTTCTCAAGTCTGAAGCAATACCTGAGGAAGAAAGAAAAACTCTTGAAAGCTCGTCTTCTAAG